ACCCGTTGGGGACACAGACGCCCCTTTTTCTCTTATCCTCCCCCTCTCGCCACCCCCACCCCCTACCCCCACCATAGCCTTCGCCGCCCATTTTCCTGGCCGTCTCACCGTCCAGCCGGGCCACCCAAAGCACGACCACCTGATTTGTGTCTTTCTCGCCTAGGCGCCGGCGGACAACCGATAGATCTGCGGCGGCGGGATATGTCGCATCCGACCGCCGGGCAACTGCATCTTGCCAGGGATTGGTCGGGTACCGGACCGCACAGCCCTGTGGCAATGCCTCCATGCTGCATGCAAGTATTGACTCTGCCTCTAGCCGCTCGGATCTATCCCGTCGGCGATTCGCTGACAAAGACAAGTCCCACCGTTGCCTGGGCTCGGCGCTGGCCCAGCGGCTCGTTGGCTCACCGTTGTCGCTCATAAAGTGCAAAAAAGATGGGGTATGTGCTTGTTTTCATTCGGTTGTGCTCCTGGATTTGGCGCATTTTTGGTAGCTCATTGTTTATATTGAAATTTTCCTGTAGGATGAATGTAAGTTTTGGTATTGGGAAGAAGAATACATCGATCTATTGATAGCATGAAAATTGATAGATGCTCATGCAGTCGTTGCTAGAATAGAGGCCGGAGATGAGACTAGAGATGAGATTAGATGCGAACCAACGTCTACTTCTTTAGAATCGAAGAAAAATAAGTGTGCAAGCTCGAGAAGCGGCAGATCAACGAAGATATACCGAAGATATTAATCCAACTAGTCGGAGCAGTTATGAATGTTGGATATCTTTTAAAATGACTAACTGCGGTTCTTGTTTTGTTTTTTCTTTATCTTGCTCCTTCTAGCGAAGAATTGGTGAATGTGTATGAAAATGTCATTGATGAATAAAATAAATGTGCTTTGTGGTGAAAAAAATGTATACGTACGGGCACCAGTCGACTGTGACGGACCAGATGCGTCCGTGCGTTGGGCGCATTACCAGCACTCCAAAGAAACGGCTAGACGCCGTCACATTTTTCTACTCAAACGGACAGAATCCGAACAAAATGATTAACCATGCTCTGAGTAGTCTAGACCTTACATACATTAATTCTTGATTGGAGCTTGAGCACGATTGGATTGGAAAGTCATCAGGTGAGAGGCATATAAATAATGTATGTACGCCACTCGCTGTACGTACGTACCAACTTGCTTGAGATAGATCCTGGATAATAATTGACCGATTCTACTACCGGTGCTTATATGTGCGGCACGTACAATACGGTACAGAGACAGCTGCTCCTCGCATACGTGAACCCAAGTCGCATATGTATGTACGTGGGTAAGGTGGCAATCGTTCCGGTCTGATTCGTTCAATGATAATGGTTTTGATTTTGGTAAGCTACCTTCGAGGTTCAAAGAGCTGTATGTCGAACTCAGATGACGGACGTTGATGTCAAGTTCAGAAGATTCTTCAGTCTTAATTATATTTACTTCTTAGCTGGTGTCTCTTTATGTAAAGTCTAATGTCTTGCTGTCTTTTTAGTTTTGGTCGGTCAATCAATGTGTAGGTGACTTGTATTATACATAATACTTACTCTCTCCGTCCCAATTTACTCGTCATGGTTAACTAAAACCACGACGAGTAAATCGGAATGAAGAGAGTATGATATAGATGAGACAAGTATAAGACGAAAGAAACAACTCGCGCAGGGGATGGCCGTAAGATATGCAGCGGTCCGCCCCGTGGTCCTCGGCTGGGATCCTACAAACGCACCACGGATCCTGCGTGCGCCCGGCCGTCTGCACTCACCCATCCATCCAAAGTCTGTCTGATATGCACGCCTCTTGTGACAAGCCACTGCACCTAAGCCTAGCCATAAACTACGTCTACGATCCGGCCGATCAGCTAGTCAGAGAGGAGTATTTATACACGTACGTACTACTACCTCTAACTCTTACTCTACGTTGCCAAAGCAAAGATAATTATGGCGCGGCTCGAGAGGGCACGCAGTCAGTCAAGCAGGACCGGGCCGAGTGGATAGACATGCGCGCGACCGCAAAGCCAAGATATGCGGGACGGACGGACGGAGAGGCGCGCGCGCGTTTCTACGAGCATGCAAACTGCTGCCGCTGCTGCAGCGACTACTGCTCCTTCTGCTGCTAGCTACTCTACCGCTGCGCTCTACTGCAGGAGCAGGCTTGCGCGCGCGCTCGGACGTGCAGCGGCCAGGTCATGTGCCCGCTCCTGGCTTGTCGACCCTCTGCGCCAGCTAGTGCATGCCACGCGCTGGCTGGTCGACGTAACTTGCTGCACGCACCATGCCCAGGCACTACTGTCTAGTATGGCCTGTACTCCGTCGGAAGCGCTGTGCCGCCGCAGCCCGCGTGCCATGCCCACCTTATGCATATCCCAGGCTCAGGCTCGGACGTGTCCGCGGATGCGCGCTCGTCTCCGTAAGTCCACCTGATCAGGGGTGCAGATGATTAGTCGATTGATTGACACGTGTCGTGCACACTGGCACGTTCCAATATCGCTCCGTCCTGAACCATGCACGTTTGCTCCGTCATGGATGCTCGACGGCGAAATCCGGCCGGCGACGGTCATATATGATGGCGGCAAGCCCCACGAACCCTGCACGATTCTGGGATCTCACCAACACGGGTGTCTGTCGCTGAGCCGGGCGAGAAACAGAGAGCAAAGACACGAGATAGACAGGCAGCCTTAGTGATAATGACCTTACATTCATGGCATTAATAACCTGTACGTAACGGTAGGCTCTAAAGGCCCCCGGATCCCTTCCTTTTAGGTAAGTCCAGCTTTTTGGCACAAAATTTTCTTCAATTCATCAAGCGATCGAGCCTGCTCCAAACTGCTCATCACAAATAGACGACCTCAACCCAGATCCGGTACCATTTTAAAGTGAGATCGCAGGTGGTGGCCTCTGCTTTTTTGGTTCACTGATACTCCTACCTTGTCTGCGTTGGCACAGCCATAGCATGAAGGAAACACGACTGTCTCTAGCTAGTCTCCACTTTTGCTCAGGGGATCTTCTTTACGACTACTCTACATTGCTTGATAAGAAAGCCTTAGTTATGTGCATGCTAAATTCTGTACCGTGGTACTTTAAAGAAAAACAGTCGATCTATTCATTAATTGTCATGACAGTAGTCATGACAGTGCAAAAATCCCGTCCCTAATCGAGCGCCAAAAAACAACTAAAAACGAAGCAGATGCCCTCCCGCCGGCAAGGGTCGGGATTCACCGGGCCTCCATGTGGACCTTAGGCCATGCAAGATGAGATAGACCGGCGGCGGCGCCAACGAAAGGCAAGAAACCCTTGTCATATGGGAGTCACCTTTTCTTGTGATTAACTAACTAATTCCAATAACCATATGGTGTATCACTAAAACTAAATTATCTCCCAAGTTCTACCTAGAGACTCCATGTTAGCTCAAAATTCTCCACGAACGTGACAAATCTTGGATTGTCATGTGCCTAGTTTAGCGAACCAGTTCAGCCAAGAAGAAGAAGATGTCGACAGTTTGTATACTGGCCAGCGCAAACGCCAGTCCACCTCCAACACGCAATGATTTGAACGTATCCACGCATGGCCACGGGCATACGGGCCGTCAATTTATTGCACAGTGACTGGAGCACAAGTGCAAAACATGCCGGCGGCACGAGCAATAGATGGCACTCGAGTAGGAGCGCACGTCGACGAAATCGCCACGGAATTCCCGGTGGAAAAGGCTAGGTACCGTACACTCACATCGTCGGCACATTGCGCCCGACCCATTGACTGACCCGGCCATGAAGTTAAAACTTGTCGCGTCGTCACCTGTGAGAAACATGTTGTAGCAACCGTCGGAGCATTTTTCATTTTTTATTGATTGAAGTTACTACCAGCGTCGCAGCAACATTGAGCACATGCGGTGACGATCGATGCGTCGCCCATCTCTTTTTCGCCCTGGAAAGCAAAGCCTGGCGTGCGTGAAATCGATTTACCGTGGACCCGGCAATTACCTTCCCTGCGGAAACCGAGCAATTGGGCCCACACGTAAGCCTCTGCTTTCGCAAAGCTCACTGCTGTTCCTACAGGCATGGTGGTCATGCTCGTGCCTGATGTCACGAGAGCCGTTTGCATCCACAGCGTTGGACAGATACGCACGCGTATACCGCGGCTTTCGAAAAACAGATACGCGTATACGCAGTGTCACGAATGCACTCTTCGTAGTAGTAGGAGCAATAGTACGTACGCATGGACGTCTACAGCGCCATGCACGCTGCATGCACGAGGCGGGAGAGCCAGGAGGGACAGCGGCCCTCTGTGGCCACGTGCAGCCCATCTAGCGGAGGATCTGCCCGTAAAGGTAAAGTATGGCAGCTGCTGCCAGTCTCCCTCCCGCCACGTGGCATTTGCCCGTTTCTCCGTTGACCACCCTTGGCTTATTTTCTTTCTTTCTATCTATCTACTCATACGTACTGCTAGGGTTTTCTACCGGTACACGGAGATGAATTTCGACCTCAGATGTTTCCAGAACACTGGCAACTTCAATATACAAAATCCCACGTACTACTACATGAAGACTTTTCAAAACAGAAACGAGCAGAAAGGAGAAGATCAGTAATGAGCACATGGTTTTGGTCTTATTTTGCAGCACTGAAACATTGTAGTTTACCACTACTCCACATCCCAATATGTTCATCCACCAGCCTAGCATCTTTTTTTTACGGGAAATACCAGCCTAGCATCTGCTGCTACTACTACGACTGCCGCAAAAATCACTCCAGAGAACAAAAGAAAAGCCAAAGGGAAACAAAAAAAAAGCAATTAGTAAATGACAGCTACCACCACCGGTTCTCTCGAATCTGCATCGCTGCTTACTTCACCTCGAGTCGAGAAGATTAAAATGGAAAAGAAATCGAAATAAAAGGAAAAAAGGAAAGAAGAACAACAGGGCAAGAGTAAATTCCCGGCTCTTCCAGCTGTCGCGCCCCATGGGGTCCTGCCGCACCGCACGCCGCCTACCCCCACTGGGAAGGTGGGCCCATGCATCGCTTCTTGGCATCGGCGACGTTGGCCGCCGATCCGACGGTCCGGTCGCTCTCCGAGCTGGCGCTGCGGTAGTGGCCGTGCCCGAGGACCGTCACCGGCGTGTCAGCGCTCGCCGCCGGTCCGACGCCGACGCCGACGCCGACCACGCCACAGACTGCCGCCATCACCTCGCCGCACTCCCGTAGCTTCTCCTGGACAGAGGGTTAATCATTGTGAGAAGAGCGCACGAAATTATCAACTCCGGCGAGAAAACAAGAAAGCTTATCAGGAGTGCGGGTCAATCGCTGCGCTCGGGCGCGTTTCACGAGGAAAATAACTACGAAAAGGCGAACAGTTGGGAGTAAACAGGGTGGCCAAGGTCTCCTCTCCCAAAGGATCTGGAGTGTGTTTGGCGTGGCATGACATGACAGCTGGTGGTTACTTGGGTGATTCGATTAGTAGTGGAGAATTAAGGGGGGGTTTAGTGGGCAGTGGAGAACAAAAATGTGCGGTTTTATAAGATCATGCTCACGCTATTTACAAAGGGGCAAGCGGCCACGGCGGCTTGGAAGGCGGGGAGGTGGGCGACGGCGATCTCTCCGGCGGCGGCCAGCAGCGCCGACGCGGCCACCACGGACGGCGAGAACTCCGCCATCTTCACCTCTGCAGGACGGGAAGAGATCAGCGGTTGAGCGGGCGATGAATCTGAGGGCAAAGCGTTCGGGTTTGCTTGGCATTGGCATGCCGGGGGATCGCGCGCACGTACCGGGCTGGGCGCGGAGGAGGAGGTCGACGGCGCGCTCCTTGACGGCGTCGAGCAGGGCTGGGTGCCGCGGCGGAGGGAAGCACGCCGAGAGGAAGAAGCCGAGGAAGGCGAGCGGCGTAACGGAGCGCGCGCGCCACTCCAGCGCGCCCAGCACCACCCGCTCCATGCGCCGGATGGTCACCGCGTCGAACATGAACTCCTCGTCCCTCTGCAACCCACGTACGCACACTTGATTGACAACTAATCCCCATATGAACTCGCGACAGAGCAACCGAAAAGAAAAGGCAATACTCATCCTACTTGGATGTAGTCCATGGAGATTGCGTCGACGCGCTGCATCTTGGCGGCGATGGAGAGGCAGCTGATGGCGAGCAGCCGCGGCGCCCATGGCTTGCGCTCGAACTGCGCGGCAGAACCACGGGGTGTCAGATCAGACCGAAATATTGTAGATTCTTGAAAGAAAGACACCATCTTTCGGCTTCTTACCGGCAATTGGCCCTTGGAGAGGAAGCGATCCACGTAGTTGAGCGCGAGGTAGGCCACCCGCGGGTGCACAGCGAGCTCCCCGTCGTACCGCACCTAGGCCAACCGAGGCTGATCGGATCAGAAAGGGAAGGGGAGGAACCGCTCGCGAGAAAGAACCCCGTGACGAACACGAACAGCACATAAGAAGACCCGTACCTTGGAGATGAATCGGGCGGCGTCGCGGCGGACGGCGGAGGCGGCGGCGGACACGGAGGGCGCGTGGTGGGCCTCGGCGTCGAGGAGGCTGGCGATCGGCTCATCGGCGGGGCTGGTGAAGGGGTTCTCCAGGTCGAACTCGTACTCGTAGCCGTAGACGTACTCGTCCTCCCCCGGCATGTCCATGGCGTCCGTACGAGGAAGGGGCAAGAACACGCCAAGAAGCGCAGGCTGTGGCTTTATGGGGGAGAGGAAGCCACCATTGCTGCCTGCTACGCAGTGTGCTAGTACTAGCTGTGTCTGGTTGGGAAGATGGCCTTTAATAAGGGAACCGTCGGGGTCCGGGGACAATGGCACAAAAGGTGTGGATTTGGGGTTCTTTATGTAAAGATCGTGGAGACGGCGAGGCCCGAGACAGGAGGGGGAGGGCATGGCATGGAGGAAGAAAGTTTCTGGTGGCGACCCACCTGTCATGGCTGCGAAATGATCGCTGCGCTTGTGCGTGACCCTGCGAGACCACACGATTTACTCCGTGCCGGCCCCATGCGTTTTGTCTTTTGACAGCTCTCATCCATGTGAAGAAACGTGGTATAGTAATTCTTGCTAAAAATGTTGACGCCATTGTACAACACTAGTCACCACAATTTTGGTCGACATAAGTAGAGATCCTTGTAACTATAGCGCGTTTCCCCCTAAAAAATTCTAGGGCAAATCTCTATTGCGAGATGATGCTAATTCTAAGCATCTCAATCTTAAAAGAAGGAGATCGCGCGGATGCAGCAACTGCTCATGGTGGCGGTTTCAGAGGGAGGCGGCGAGATTTGCGGGAAGAGTCCTTTCTCTCTCTCCCTCGCCTCGCCTTTGAAAGGGCACTGAGCTCAATCGTCAACTTAATCCACTTGTTCGTAGTCAAGATCCATCCATCCATGTGTCAAAATCCAGGAGCCGTAACGGGCGGCAACGCCGTAACCACGTGATAACCCAGTGTCGTCGTAGCAATTTTCCAGCACACGCCAATGAACCCATTTGTTAGAGTCTGCAATGCGCGAGTGCCGAGGAGATTGTGTTCTTCGTTGTCCAGTCAAATCCCACTATTTACGCGACTGAATCAATTTGGCAACACATAAAAGATTTGTCATGTCGTCACTCACGGCAATAATCGGATTTCCCCTTAGTCGGGTAAAATATGAACCCTATTATGACAACTCAGGGTCAAATGTTTCGTGCCAATTCACAAAAAAATCAAGTGACCTGACACTCGGCACAAATAAGTTCTATAATCTAGGTGTTGTTAATCCGTCTCCTGAAGATTGCTAGATTACTCAGGGACACCCTGAACGAGGGGAAAATTTGGTATCCTTTGTAGCATGGGTTGGGGCTTTGAGCCCTGAAATTCGCAAGTTCGGATCTAATGAAGATGAATGAACGACGTTCCTCGGGGATACCGACTCGCATCTCCTCGAGAGAGTCAGACCAGGCGCCAACATCATTACTCGAATTATATGATACACCCTTAGTCGAGCTGCAAGTCAGCCTCTCCCAAAAGATGATCGAGTATCACTGGTTCTTTTTTCAAAACATGTTTGAATTAACCATTTCCACGTGATTTTGATCTCTAGAGTCCACTGGGTTTCTTCACGAGTAAACTAGCAGCGTCTCGAGTCCGAAGACCACTCGGAACCTATGTTCCACTACGGTCCAACCGAAATCTACTTCTTTTGAGGGTTTGGTCAATTTGTGTATCGATAGACTCGAGGGCTAATGACGAGGCAATTCCCTACCACGTAGGCCCGCAATGACATAAGGCCCGGCTAAGGGCCTATGCCCATGTACGCTAAGGACCCAGTCAGGATCAGGAACATGGGATAGGCCATCAGCTAGAGTGAGCACGAGTTGGGGACCAACTATCCACTAGGTTGTGAGCTGTGTTGGGATCTTTCCTGAAGAGGAATGGTGAAGCAATATAGTAGCGGATAGTGTTTCCCTTAGTAGAAAACCAAGGTTATCGAAGCAATAGGAGACTCACACAAACAACCTTTAGCAGTACCTACACACAGAAGAGCAAATACTTGCACCCAACGCGGGCAAGAGGGTTGTGAATCCCCTTATACTTGTTAATTGCAAGGATTAAATTGGATATTGTCGATAGCAAAATTGCAAAGTAAAATAAAAGTAATAAAGTTGTAGCAAGATATTTTTGGTTTTTATAATATGATTTAAATAGATCCAGGAGCCATAGTTTTCACTAGAGGCTTCTCTCTCATAAAAATAACATACGGTGGGTAGACAAATTACTGTTGGGCAATTGATAGAAAAGCGCATAGTTATGACGTTATTCATGGTATGATCATGTATATAGGCATTACGTTCGTGACAAGTAGACCGACTCCTGCCTGCATAACTATTACTCCACCAATCGACCGCTATCCAGCATGCATATATGGTATTAAGTTCATGACAAAATGCTTTAAGCAAGATGGCATAATGTAGACAATAAAACCAAGCAATATGATTAAACCCTGCAGTTTGCCCCTTAGTAGCAACAATACAATACAATACATGACTCGCTACCCCCGCTGTCACTAGGTGAGGACACCGCAAGATTGAACCTACTACTATGCACCACTTCCAGTGAAGATCAATGAATCAACTTGGCTAAAGAAAACCCACAGATCGAAAAACATTACATAGCTATAACAATCATACATAATAAAGTTCAGAAAAGACTCAATTACTTTCAGTGAATTGTCCAATCATAAATCCACAATTCGTCGGGTCCCAACAAACACACCGCAAAAGAAGATTGCATCGGATAGAGATCCGAGGAGAACATTGTATCAAAGATCAAAGAGAGAGAAGAAACCGTCAAGATAATCACTATGGACCCGTAGGTCTATGGTAAACTACTCACAGATCATCGGAGGTGCAGTAAGGTTGATATAGAAGCCCTCTCTGATCGATTCCCCCTATAGAGAGTAACAAAAAAAGGCCTCCAGACGGGATCACGGAACAACAGAAGCTTGCGGCAACGGAAAATTGTTTCAGAATTCTCGCATCAACTTGGTGGATCGATAGGCAATGGAGAGGCCTTTCAATCGTTATCAATGCAAGGAGTAGTGATTTCCATGCAATGGTTGCACTAGAGCTATAAGTGTATGAAAGCTCAATACTGAAACTAAGTGGGTGTGCATCTATCTTGCTTGCTCATGAAGACCTCGGGCATTTGAGGAAGCCCGTCTCGGAATATAGAAGCCAAGTTCTCTAATGAAAAAATCCTATTATATGAAAGTGACAAATCAAGAGACTCTCTGTATGAAGAACATGGTGCTACTTTGAAGCACAAGTGTTGTAAAAGGATAGTGGCATTGTCCCTTCTCTCTCTCTCTCTAGAACAATATCATGAACCTCATCCCCACATTTTGGAGGACTCGTCAATATCCATCATTCTTTACCTCACTGGGACAATGCTCTAATAATGATGATCATCACATTTTCATTTACTTACAACTTGATAAACTGAAACAAGATGACTCTAGAATGCCTATGGCAGTGTACCAGGATGTGCAATGATCTAGCATAACATGTAGTACAATGATGAACGATGGCTTTGCCACAAATATCATGTCAGCTCTATATGATCACGCGAAGCAATATGATGATAAACACACATGTCATAAGACGGAACAGTGGAAAGTTGCACGGCAATATATCTCAGAATGGCTATGAAAATGCCATGATAGGTAGGTACGGTGGCTGTTTTAAGGAAGATATAAGGAGGCTTATGTGTGATAGAGCGTATCATATCAAGGTGTTTGGATGCACCAGTGAAGTTTGCACTGACTCTCGAGGTAAGAAAGGGCAATGCACGATACTGAAGAGGCTAGCAATATGTGGATAGGTGGGAGTGTGGGAGTGTTGTATTATCACTGGTACAACGAGCTGCTATACAAACGGTTTTTAACCCCTTTTCGCGACAGCATTTTAAACCGTCGCATTGCTAGTGTGTGCGATAGGGGGGGTTCTTCCCACATGGCCCAGAAACCGCCGGGGATAGGCCCTCCGGTCAAACACGCTGGGCAAAATGAGTCATGTGCGATCGGGCTAGCCGTCGCATAGAATTATACAGGCCCAATCGTTTCCATTCGTAAGTACATCCCACACAGTGAATCCCAGAGAAACGTTTCCCTTCGTATGTACATCCCACACAGTCAATCCAAGGAATATGTTTCCGTTCGTATGTACATCCCACACAGCCAATCCAAGAAGTACGTTTTTGTTCATATGTACATCCCACACGATGAATCCCAGACAAAGTTTCGGTTTGCATGTGCATCACACACAATTTTCCCCATCAAATCATCTAAGATAGCGTTGCCATTGCAGACGATATTAACAATTTTATCGTTTGCGTTATTGAATGCATCACGCACAGTGCATAGAAGAAACTGTGTGGCATAGGCTGTCCATCACACACACTTTTTATGTAGAAAACGTTTATGCAAAGTGGCCTAACGCAAATAGTTTTCAAAAGGAAGTCGTGCACGATTGTTCATTGACCCACCATGTTTTCTTCCTAGAAACTGTGTGGGTTGTATGAGGTCATCGCCCACGGTGTTGTCTCAATAACCGTTTGCAATAGAAAAACCTAATAAGCAGGC